CCGATCGGGACAAGGAGCATCGGCTCCGTCTTCTCCACGCCGCTGGCGCCCTCGCTTGGGCGTGACCTCGTGGTCCACACCGCGGCGCCGCCGTCCGCTGCGGACTCCGCAGGCGTCGTCCCGCCGCTCCTGCCACAAGCGGATCACACTGCCCCGCTGGCGGGGTTGGCGGCGTCCGCCCCGGCCGCGGGCCTTGCGGCGTCCGCACCGGCCGCGAGCTTTGCGGCGCCCGCCCTGGCTGCGGTCCCGCCTCCTCCCGCATCGGCTTCGGTGCCTCCGGCTGCCTCCATGGTGTTTGCACCCCAGGCAGCCTCCTCGATGGGATTGTCTTCGCCGCCGCCGTTTCACTTCGGTCATCTCATCACCATCAAGCTCTCCGCCGACAACTACATCTTCTGGCGTGCGCAGGTTCTCCCGCTCTTGGGGAGTCACTACCTGCTAGGCTACGTCGACGGATCGCTTCCCTGCCCACCCGCGCTGGTAGACAGCGTGCATGGTCCGGTCTACAATCCGGCCCATCGCGTCTGGACGGGGCAGGACCAGGCGAACCTCTCCTCCATCCAGGGGTCGCTCTCGCCGGCAGTTGCCGGCCTTGTTGTCTTCGTGAAGACGTCTCATGAGGCCTGGACCATCCTTGAGCGCACCTTTGCAGCGCAGTCTCAGGCTCGTGTCTCTGCACTCCGTCGTCAGCTTGGAGAGTGTCAGAAGCTTGACTCCACTGCCACTGAGTTATACAACAAGGTCAAGGGCCTCGCTGACACATTGGCCTCCATTGGACAACCCCTCACCGACTCCGAGTTCAACTCGTTTATTGTCAATGGTCTTGATGAGGAGTATGATGCCTTAGTCGAGATCATCAACGAGCGGGGCAACTCGACACCCATGCTGGCACACGAGGTTTTCTCTCGGCTCCTTCTCACTGAGCAACGGGTCGAGACTCGCCGCACCAGGGGCACTGGCTCCCTCTCGGCCAACGCCGCCACCAAGGGTGGCCGCTCTTCTTCATCACCCCGATCTCCCTTGGGGCTGCCACCGTCGCCCGCCTCGGCCCCCCCACCTACTGCGACCTTACCGGGGGCTGGCGGTCCACGTGTGTGTCAGCTTTGTGGCCGCGATGGGCACTGGGCCTCCAAGTGTCATAAGCGCTTCCAGCAAAGCTTCCTTGGTCTTGGCAATGACGACAAAGATACACGCAACAATGCCCGTCAGGTCGCCATGGCTGATCGTCCCGCGCCGCAGAAGCAACAGGGACACACTCAGTCCTACTCCATCGATCCACACTGGTACATGGACTCTGGGGCGACAGAGCATCTAACCAGCGAGACGGGGAAGCTTCACACTCGTGAACCCTATCATGGCTCCGACAAGATCCACACCACCAATGGAGCAGGTATGCACATCTCTCATATTGGTCAAGCATCTCTTCTCACTAGACATGCCAATAGGAGTCTTCAGCTTCGCAATGTTCTTCGAGTTCCATCTGTGACCCGTAATCTTCTTTCAGTTCCTAAACTCACACGTGATAATAATGTGCTTTGTGAATTTCACCCTTTTGATCTTTTTATTAAGGATCGGGGCACGAGGGACATTCTTCTTAGTGGGCGGTTGTGCCAGGGCCTCTACCGTCTGGAGCATCCTGGTGTCGCTCGTGTTTTCAGTGGAGTTCGGGTCTCTCCGTCACAGTGGCATGCTCGTCTTGGTCACCCGGCCACACCTATTGTCCGTCATATTTTGCGTCGTCATGAGCTTCCTAGTTTGTCTAGTCATAAAGATGTAGCAGTGTGTGATGCTTGTCAGCAGGGGAAGAGTCATCAACTTCCTTTTTCGGAGTTCAGTCGTGAGGTGAAACATCCTTTAGAACTTGTGTTTTCAGATGTATGGGGTCCTGCTCAGACTTCTGTCAGTGGTCATAATTACTATATCAGTTTCGTTGATGCTTATAGTCGCTTTACCTGGCTTTACCTTATTAAACGCAAATCTGATGTGTTTGATATTTTTGTTCAGTTTCAAAAACATGTTGAACGTCTTCTCAAGCACAAAATTGTTCATGTCCAGTCAGACTGGGGGGGGGGGGGCGAGTATCGCAACCTCAACTCTTTCTTTCAGTCGCTTGGGATAGCTCATCGTTTAGCATGTCCACATACACATCAGCAGAATGGTTCAGTCGAACGTAAGCATCGTCATATTGTTGAAGCTGGTCTTACTCTTTTGGCCCATGCATCTGTTCCGTTTCGGTTTTGGAGTGATGCTTTCACCACTGCATGCTTTCTCATCAACCGTACTCCTACTCGTGTTTTAAACATGAAGACTCCCATTGAGGTTCTCCTTAATGAACAACCTGATTATACCTTTCTCAAGGTATTTGGGTGTGCTTGCTGGCCGCATCTTCGTCCATATAACAAGCGCAAGTTTGAGTTTCGTTCTAAGAAGTGTGTTTTTCTTGGCTATAGCTCTCTTCATAAAGGTTACAAATGTCTTCATGTTCCCACTAATCGTGTCTATATATCTCGGGACGTCGTGTTTGATGAGCATGTTTTTCCCTTTGCCAACCTTCCTGTGTCCACTGTCGAACCACCATCCCTGCATTCATCCTCTGTTGCTTCTGACCAATTTGATGATGTTGCATACTCTCCTTTGCTGTTACCTAACCATGATGCAGGAACCGGACGTGGAGCTCGTTTGGAGCTGTTGGAGGATTCACCATCATCATCGTCGTCTTCTGGTGGGCACGTCGATCGCCCTATGTTGCATGGCATCGATTCGCGTGCCCATGCATGGTCACCCGACGAGCCCGTCGCGCCGAGCATCTCCACTGCTCGGTCCGTTTCGCCAGCGGCCGCCGAGTCGCCCGCGGCTCGGCCCGTCACGCCGTCTTTGCCTGCGGCTCGGCCCGTCACGCCGTCTTCGCCCGCGGCTCGGGTCCTCACGTCGCCTTCATCAACGGACCGGCCCGCGACACCGGCCGCGCCACGGCCCACTATGCAGAGCTCGCCATCGGCCCGGTCTGTGATGCCGGAGTCGCCAGCTGCTTCGTCTGCTCTGCCGGTTTCGCCGGTGGGTCGGCCTTCTTCGCCAACCGAGTCCGAGGCTACCGTGACTGGCTCCTCGTCACCGGCTGACTCGTCAACGTCGCCGTCCTCCAGCCCGTTGCAGGCTGCTCCGTCGACCTCGGTGGTTCCTATGTCCCGACCACATACACGCAGTCGCAGTGGCATTTTCAAACCTAAGGAACGTAAGGATGGTACGGTTGCTTGGTTGGCTGCTTGTTTGGCTGCTGCTGTTGCGGATCCATCTTCTGAGCCTCGCTCATATCAGGCTGCCCTGCGCATTCCACATTGGCGAGAGGCTATGGAGCAGGAGTTTCATGCTCTTCTTCGTAACAAGACATGGACTCTCGTTCCTCCACCACCACGGGTAAATGTTATTGACTCAAAATGGGTATTCAAAGTGAAGAAGCATTCGGATGGATCTATTGAGCGTTACAAAGTGCGACTTGTTGCTCGCGGTTTTCGGCAGCGTCATGGTCTTGACTATGAGGACACCTTCAGTCCTGTCGTCAAGCCTACCACTATTCGGCTTCTTCTCTCCATTGCTGTTTCTCGTGGTTGGTCACTTCGTCAACTTGATGTGCAGAATGCTTTTCTACATGGATTTTTGGAGGAAGAGGTTTATATGAAACAACCGCCTGGTTTCTCTGATCCTGATCGTCCTGACTATATCTGTCGTCTTTCCAAAGCACTATATGGTTTGAAGCAAGCTCCTCGTGCCTGGCATGCCCGCCTTGCCTCTGCCCTTCGTGCTCATGGGTTTGTGCCGTCTACTGCTGACACTTCGTTATTTCTTCTACAGAAGCCAGAAGTCACTATGTATCTTTTGGTATATGTCGATGATATTATCCTTGTCAGCTCTTCTCAGTATGCTGCTGATGCTCTTGTCTGCTCTCTTGGTGCTGATTTTGCGGTCAAAAATCTTGGGAAGCTTCACTACTTTCTTGGAGTTGAGGTCACTTCTCGTGCTACTGGTCTTGTCCTTACGCAGAAGAAGTACTCCTTGGAGTTGTTACAGAGAGCTGGCATGCTGAAGTGCAAACCGACCACCACACCCATGTCGTCTACCGACAAGATAACAGCTGTTAATGGTGAGCTTTTGTCTCCTGCGGATGCCACAGAGTACAGGAGCATTGTTGGTGGACTTCAGTACTTGACGATCACGAGACCAGATATCTCTTATGCTGTTAACAGGGTTTGTCAGTATCTTCAGGCTCCCAGAGATACTCATTGGGCTGCTGTTAAATGCATTCTTCGTTATGTTCAGTTCACCCTGACATTTGGTATGCATATTCGGCCGACTTCCTCTCAGGTCCTTTCGGCCTTCTCTGATGCAGATTGGGCTGGTAGCCCAGATGACAGGCGATTCACGGGGGGTTATGCAGTATTCTTTGGCTCTAATTTGATCGCCTGGAGTGCTCGGAAACAGGCTACTATGTCACGTAGCAGTACTGAAGCTGAGTACAAGGCTGTGGCTAATGCTACTGCAGAGATTATTTGGGTGCAGTCTTTGCTTAAGGAGTTGGGTTTGTCTCAACCACAGCCTCCTATTCTTTGGTGTGATAACATCGGTGCTACATACCTTTCTGCAAATCCAGTATTTCATGCCCGAATGAAACACATTGAAGTTGACTATCACTTTGTACGGGAACGTGTATCACAGAAGCAACTCCAGATCAAGTTTATCTCATCTAAGGATCAACTTGCAGACATCTTCACTAAGCCTTTACCGCTGCCACAGTTTAAGGCTTGTAGGCGCAATCTTACCCTTCTCAGTTCTTTAGAAAGTGGCTAAGATTGAGGGAGGGTGTTAGACTATGTATAGCTTTTGTACCTATGTACGTATATGGTACATATTGTAACACAACCATTATATATAATGAGATAAGTCACCCCTAAAGGGGTGTGCTGGTTCCCCAGAACTTATTGTCTTACATAGTGGAAACACACTGGTCAGCCAGCCCGTCGGTTGTGGACGACCACGTTCCCTTCGGCGTCAGCATCTAGAGTCAGCGAATCCCCTTCCTTGGCCTCCCCGGCGAGCATCATGTCCACGAGCTTGTCCTCCAGCAGCCTGGTGATGGCCCTCCGCAGCGGCCGCGCGCCGTAGCTGCGGTCGTAGCCTTCCTCGGCCACCAGCTCCTTGAACCTCTCCGTCACCCGCAGCTCCATCCCCTTCTCCCTCATCCGGCGGACGACCTCCTCCAGCATCTTGGAGGCGATCTCCTTCATCTCCGGCTTGGTGAGCTCCCGGAACACGATCACCTCGTCGAGCCGGTTCAGGAACTCCGGCGGGAACCCGTGCTTCTCCTTCATCCCCTTCTCGACCATCACGCCCGTCATCTCCCCGTCGCCGCCGCTGCCGGCGTTAGACGTCATGATGATGATGGTGTTCCGGAAGTCCACCGTCCTCCCCTTGCCGTCCGTCAGCCTGCCGTCCTCCAGCACCTGCAGCAGCATGTTGTACACGTCCCTGTGCGCCTTCTCGACCTCGTCGAACAGCACCACCGCGTACGGCCGCCGGCGCACCGCCTCCGTCAGCTGCCCGCCCTCCTCGTACCCGACGTAGCCCGGGGACGCCCCGACCAGCTTCGCCACCGCGTGCCGCTCGCTGAACTCGCTCATGTCCAGCCGGACCATGGCCTCCTCCGAGCCGTAGTTGCACGCGGCGAGCGCCTTGACGACCTCCGTCTTGCCCACGCCCGTCGGGCCGGCGAACACGAAGCTGGCGATCGGCCGGCTGGGGTCGCGAAGGCCGGCGCGCGAGCGGCGCATGGCGCGGCTCACGGCCTTCACGGCCTCGTCCTGGCCGACGACGCGCCGGTGCAGGGTCTCCTCCATCGTTAGCAGCCCGGCCGACTCGTCCGCGGAGACCCTCTCCACGGGGATGCCGGTCGACGAGGAGACGACGCGCTGGATGTCCGCCTCGGTGACCATCGGCACGGCAGACGTGATCTGGGACGTGAGCTCCAGCTCTTCCATGTGAAGCTCTTTTGCCTGTAATCATATAGCATCATAATGGAAATTGTAAACGAAATGTGGAATCATATAACAAGAAATAAGCTCTTTTGGCTGATTGATTGATTGATCGGAAGAGAAGGCGATTACCAGCTCGAAATTCTGGCAACGGACGGCGTCGTCCCTCCGTTTGATGATTTCCTCGCGCTTCTTGCAGAGATCCTTGACTTCCTCAGGTACCTGTCAGTGTCAGTATAGTTTGAAATTCAGATTCTCGGATCATGAAAACTAAACTGCGTGCAGGATTACATTTAGGTGCATCATATATTCATATGAGAGAAAATGTTTACCTTGCCATGACGTATCCTGACTTGAGATCCCGCTTCATCAATCAAGTCGATGGCTTTATCCGGGAGGAAACGGTTACTGCAAACAGAAGGCAGTGTTCAAAAAAGACCAAACGGAACGGAAATATACTGAAACCATCGAAACCTGATGTATCTCTGCGAGAGCCGAGCAGCGGCGATCAGCGCCTCGTCGGTATATCGGAGTTTGTGGTGGTCCTCGTACCCCTCCTGGAGCCCTCTGAGAATTCCTATGGCTTCATCAACCGTGGGCTCTAGAACTTTCACAGGCTGGAACCGCCTCTCCAGCGCAGGGTCTTTCTCAATGTGCTTGGCGTATTCGTCGAATGTGGTGGCTCCGATACACTGACAACCAAAGTTACAGCGAGCAATTTTTCATCAGCGACGATGTCGGCATGACCAATTGACCAACTATGGAGTAGAACATTTTTGGGTGTACCTGAATTTCACCTCTTGCCAGTGCTGGCTTCAGAATGTTGGCCGCGTCGATAGCACCTTCTGCTGCTCCTGCTCCTACCAGGGTGTGAACTTCATCGAGGAACAGTATTACCTCGCCATTCTGTTTGAGTTCTTCCATCAAGTTCTTCAGCCTTTCTTCGAACTCTCCACGGTATTTGGTACCGGCAACTAGGGGCCCCATGTCAAGGCTGATAACCTGCCATGATAGTTCATATTTATGACAAGAGCAGCTAACTAAGTCTTCATCTCACACAAAACGTGCAGGACTGCTAAAACTACAGAAATTCAAGTTCAGAACATTTTAAGTACGAGACAGGTCAAAATTTTAGCCAAAAGAGAAGAGATGTCATCGGAGCGAGCACACGAACCGTTTTCCCTTGAATTGTTTCAGGAACATCCCCGGCAGTGATACGTAGCGCAAGCCCTTCGACTATCACCGTTTTCCCAACACCGGGCTCTCCAATCAGACAGGGATTCTTCTTCTTCATTTTGCCCAAGATTTGCGTGACGCTCTCGATCTCCTTTTCCCTTCCGACAACAGGTGCTAGCTTCCCCTGTATTAAAATGGCATGCCTTCTCTTTCAACATTCTTATTTTCTGTTGAAATTAATTTGCAATGCATATTCAATCTAGTTTATAGTACCTCCTGTGCTAATTTTGTAAGATTCGTCCCATACTGCTCGAGTGTCGGCATCTTAGCTTCACTGCTTCCTGCCACAACACGAGCACCAACGGCTTGACCACGCGTGGCTTGAAAAATCCTACGGAAGATCTATGATGCAAGACAAATTTTTACGACACAAATGAAGCATGAACTCACAGCTAGACATACATAAGTATGACTCTAAAATCTAAATGCACTTTATTTACCTCATCAAGCGCATAGCCCACAGCAACTATAACAATGGTGTGTGCGACGATACGTGCTACATTTGCAAGGTTGTGCTGGCCTAAAAAAAGCCGTGTCTCCTCTTGTGCGACGGCCATGACATCTAACGCGTGCTCAGTGAAACCCTCAAGCATTGCTCTGGTGACGAAACGATCATCCTTTTTCCCTCTCGACGATGACATCCTCAAACCTTGCTCTGTTGAGCTGAAGCCGAGGCCAGGAGTAACCGCGGGAGCGTGTGCTACTCGTAGGCCTGGCATCTTAGCATTGTGGCGGTGAGCCATCGAAACCACGGAGGGACGCCTCCTGGTTATGTGGGGTGATCGAAGAGAAGGTGGCCCGAGCAAGGTCGTTCCTGCCACCACTGCGAGTGCAGCTCCATAACCTGTGGGTTGCAGATAATTAGATCAGGATAAGCAACATTCAGATGTGTCCTTGGAAGAGTTCAGTACAGTTCATGCATTCCGATGATCAGATCACATCTAGACACCAAAATAATTTGTGCAGAATCCTGGAATTTTTTCTTCCTTTTGAGGAAGAAAGACTGCCGGGACAACGTAGTAAACCATATAGTATTCTGAAACATGGCAAATTTATAGCTCAACTTTGTTCACCTAAGCGTACACATAGTTTCAAGTAAACAACAGTTACCATTATTAAGAGGTTTAAATTTCCATTTGAAACAATGACACGAAAAAAAAAACGATCCCTAAAATTCGCTACCACTCAAACATACATTGATTTGAAATGGTGGCACAAAAAAAAAGTTAAACCTGCAATCTGTATCGCGCTTAGGGAAGGGCTGGCCGAGACTTGGGCCAGTTTAGGCTTGAGCAGAGGGGCGTAGCACTGACTCTGTAAGGCCATTATTTCGTGTATATTCAGAGAACCTGTCAATGCAAGATAATTAGATCAACTAGTCATAAACCGGTGCATCCACAGTTGCTTTCACACGTGCTATATGATGATATTACAAGAAGTTCTAACACTTAAAATCCCTAAATTATGCTACTCCTCGAACGTACACTAAAATTTGGACACAGCTGGCATGAAAGGAGCTAGCAACATCCAGTGTGTCGAACTCTCGATCAATCAGAAAATGACCATCGGTTACTCATGGAAGGAGCATATTCGTGCGAGGCAAACCTGGAATCTGTATCGTGTTAAGGGAAGGGGTGATGTAGACTTGGGCCAGTTGGGGCTTCACCAGAGGGGTGTAGCACTGTAAGGCCATGGTTGCGACTTGAGATTACGTTCAGAAAATCTGTCAATGCAAGATGATGATTAGTTCAACTGGTCAAAAACCAGCGCATCCACAGATACTATATGCTGACGAGATGATATCACAAGTGTGTGTACGTATTCAAGTGTAAAACACCAGAAGCAACAGGATGATACAGCGTGCATGCAAGGATCAAAACGACCTAGCTAAACAGGACCCAAGCAACAAATTCCGGCCGATCGATGGAGCTGTCTCTCACCTTCCTAAACCGGCCAGGCGATCCTCAACAAATTCCGGCCGGCCGTCCTGCCCGCCGACACCAGCCGCGCCTGCGACCCTATCCTCTCCCTCCCTTTCTGTCTTCTGTATCGCACGTGTCCGGCAAACAAGGCGCTGAAAGATTGTGCAATCTCTACTTCTAATGGAGCAGTTGGTAGTCTCGCTTCCAGGTTTTTTTTCGTCCCACCTATCATGGTTTTTTTTCGTCCCACCTACCATGGTTTTTTTTCAACCGGTTTTTTTCATCACACCATCCCCACCCCTACCCCACCCCATTCACCGCACGCAGTCAGGTTCCGTTTCCCCCCTTACGTCCCCGATTCATGCATGACAATCAATTCTTTCCAAACGCAATCATGCATGACAATCAATTCTTTCCAAACGCAATCAATTAACTTAAGGTAACTAGACACAATCAATTCAATAAAACGGAGCGATATCTCGGGCGATTTTCTTGCTCCCGATATATAATGGTGCTAGCCAATTTGTTAACAAATGAGAAGGAAACAATCACGTGTATGTAGGGAAGATAATCGTGGAGATTGCAGGGCAGTTAAGGCCGTGCGTCACATGCAGGAAGGATTTCCCGAGTTCAGCGAAAGAGAAGGAAATCTGAGTTGGTGAATAGTCTCCACGATTTATTTTCGTCTGGCTTTTTTTCGTCTGATTTTTCTTCGTCCCACCTCCCACCACCACCCTCTCACCGGTTTTCCTCTTTTCTCGTCTAACCGGCAACACCCAATGTATTTATGGTAATCAATCACAATTAATCCACGTATGATAAGGCTATAAACTTAGAAATCTCAAATATGATTATTATAGTAATAAATCCATCCAGGTATGGTAAGGTCATAACTCAGGAAATTTCGAATATGGTAATTATATGGCAATAAATCAATCCAGGTATGGTAAGGCTATAAATATAAAGGAAAACTATTCCTGTGAGACGTCTAATACATGGCTTTCGTCAGACCAGCATCTCACCAATCGTTTTGGAGCCATGCATCCAACAACGCCTGGCTGTACTATATAACCCCTCCGAATCATCCTCACATCCACCATCAAACCCTAATCAACTACCTCGCCACCCTCTCTGCCACACCTGCCATCTGGATCCTCCTCGCTTCAACCTCGCTCTTATCGCACCACCGCATCTACGTTCGACCAGCAAGTCCTCCGGCAAGAACGCACACACCATGTCGCCTTGATGGCTAAGCATGTGCATGTGTGCTTCATGCCCCCACAACGCTCCTTGTGATCCGTTCGTCGCGCTGCATCCCCAATCTGGCCGGTGTGGCACTGTAATTTCGCCGGTGTGCAGATCTTCGTTTCCTCTGCTACTCCTCGTCAGACATTTTGTAGTTGCTGCTTGAAGTGGTATGGTCGTGCTCTGCTCGTTGAAGCCTGTAATTGGGGCTGCATGCTATAGACTCATGAGGTCCCTTTTCAATGTGGCTGCGTGGTAGCGATGCTCTCATGCGTGCTACGTCGGCTGTGCTCCAGCGGTCTTGCATTTGGCCGGGTTGAAGGATACCATATGTGTAGTAGCCACACGTGATTCAGATTTTGTTCACATTGGAAGTACAAGTGATTGTTGTTGGAAACAAATTTCCACCCTTTTGGAAGCATAATTTTCTTCGGTCAAAATGTATATGTAAAATTATTGGTATACTTTCTACCTGCAATTCAATTACCTATCAATGGTGTATCCAACATTGCTCTATTTTTCTTCCTACACATAAGAAAAATCTCTATTCCTAAGGGAGTAGTTGGTAGTCTCGCTTCCAGGTTTTTTTTTAGTCCCACCTTCCACGGTTTTTTTTCGTCCTAAAAAAATCTACGAAATTTCGTAGGTTAACCAGGGACAACTCCCACCTCCTAGGTTTTTTTCGTCCCACCTCCCATGGTTTTTTTTGGTACCTCGTCCCACCTCACACTAAGCCGCCACGAACCGCAAAAACCGCCTACCTTAGCCAAATCAACAAATCTCTCTCATTAATGCAATTTTCTTTAGGAAACAAATAATGGATTCTTTCCTACCTTAGCCAAATCAACGGATCTTTTCTATTAATGCAATTTGCTTTAGCAAACAAATAATAGATTCTTTCCTACCTTAACCAAATCAACGGATCCCTCCCATTAATGCAATTTGCTTTAGCAAACAAATAATAGATTCTTTCCTACCTTAACCAAATCTACGAAATCTCTCTCATTAATGCAATTTGCTTTAGGAAACAAATAATAGATTTTCAGGAAACAAATAATCTCTAATCTCTAATAATTTCTACTCCTAATGAAACAGTTGGTAGTCTCCTCCCACCTTCCATGGTTTTTTTGGTACCTCCTCCCACCTTCGCTGGTTTTTTCGTAGATTTTTTTCGTTCCCTTCCCTCACTTCATCGGTTTATTTTCGCGTCACCCTCTCACACAACGAAAGAAATCTAAACAGAGCAGAACTTTTCATACTGGCGCAAGTTATTTAGTAATGTAGAATCAATCACGAACAATCTCTAAAGATCAAATCTAAATTAATTAACCTTACCTTAAATCACTCAGTTACATTAATTAGAAAACAAATAATTGATTTTCAAAAAATCGCTCAATCACGTAAACCTTACCTTAACTCACGGATGGTAATCAATCTCCAAACAAAGGAAACAATACATCGAGGGAGCAGTAAATAAACTCCCTTTCTTATGACATGTATATGATCTTTCCTTCCCTCTACGTTGTCGAGCGTTCTTGATTCTCGAGGCCGATGCTTGGGCTGCGTCACTGGGTCGCGACGGTGCTGGAGGACGAGGACGGCGAGGCCGGGTGCCGCGGCACCGCGTTGGCCGCGGCCGGTGAAGGGGGCAAAGAAGGGCGGCTTCCCTGGCCCTGGCCATGGCCGTGACCCTGTGAGTTGGTGCGGTGGAAGTGGCACTTGAAGGACACGGCGTGGGTGGCCGACGCGCAGACGCGCTTGGAAGCGGGCCCGTGGCCCGTGCCGGACGGCGCCGACGCCGACCCGGGCCACCTCCTCCGCGTATTCTTGGAGCTGTGGCTGGCCGATTTACATGAAATTAATTCCCTCAGTTGTGGTGGCAAATATAATACACATAATCCATATTGTTATGTACTAGCTTGTGTGTGTGAAATAGATGGATTATGGTCCCGTACCCAATAAGATGGATATGTGTGTGTTAGAGAGAGAGAGAGGGAGAGGGGGAGAGAGTGAGGAAGAGGGAGGCAGAGAGTGTGTGTGAGGAATTGATGATAAAAAAGGTCGCCAATGTCATTTGATATATATGAGAATATTAATATTGAACTTTTAAAGTTAATGTGGCCCGTTGCAACGCACGGGTGTTCTTCTAGTGTACGGTAAGGAAACATAATCCTGCAGGCCAAGGCTTCCATTCATATTTTTTTTTTTGCGGGAATAGGCTTTCCTTTCATCAACAACTACTAGACCGACTCTGAAAGATGAATCTCAACAAAAGAAAAAGAAGACAGGCTCTGAAAGATCCACGCGTGCGCATATACGAATCTCAAAGCACATACGCCTGTCCCCCGCGCGCGCGTCAAGACCGGATCCATGAACGGACGCCCATAAATAAACCTGGTCAAACTCCAATCAGATCAGATACTCCTACATAATTGGAGCACCAATCGGCCTCGTCGGAATCTCTGCCGATTGATCAACTCGTACATCTTAAAAAACTCGATCCCAAGCATGGCGCCCAACAAGAACTCACGGCCGGCGCCGGTGGCTCCGACGACGACGACCGTGCACCACGTCCCCGACAAGCTCCTCAGGCTCATCTTCGAGCGCCTCGGCTGGCCCCTCTGGTTCGTCCGCGCCGCCGCCACGTGCAGGCGGTGGCGCCGAATCGTCGTTCAGGTCATCATCCCCCGTCGACGACTACTACACCCCCTTGTCGTAGGCAGCTACCGCAACAACCGCGACGCGCCGGCCCGCGGCCCCATCTTCACTCCTTCGCCGCTGGCGGTGGCCGCCGTGGACCGCCGCCACTTCTCCCTCGACTTTCTCCCCGGCGGTGGCGGGCAGTGGGAGCTCCTGGACAGCTCCCGATCCGTCCTGCTCCTCGCCAAGAGGAAGACGGGGTGGATGCGGCGCTGCTTCCCCGACCTGGTGCTCTGCGAGCCGGCCACGCGCCGCTACCAGCTCATCCCGCGCATGGAGGAGATGAAGCACGAGCGCTACTTCGGCGCCTTCCTCTACGGGCACGGAGCGATCAACGTGGGCTCGTGGGAGGAGAAGAGCTATAACCGGTCCACGTTCGAGGTGGTCTGCCTGCTTTACCAAAGGCATGACCGCGTGTGCGAGGAGATTGGCAGGGCGAGGGTCTGCGTGTTCTACTACTACACTCATTGTGGCAGATTGGTCTTGAACCGTCCGCCAGGGTGGTACCTTAAGAAGGAGTACCATGGACAGTCGTCTCCTGATCTTCGTGGCCCAGAGTCTCTCTATTTTTTGGGACGCACGACGCATTTTCCGTATTGGGGTATCAGACATGATGATCGAGCCTTGCTGCTTTTTGATGGATACACCGAAGTCTACAGTGTGCCCGACGTCGCTCGAGGGTCGGTCTTCCGTCTTGTTGATCATAGCAGTCAGTACGACAAGATTCGTGTTGTTTGCTTGCATGGCAGCACTCTACGGATCTTTGTGGCGCTGTTTTATAATATGGAGAACTCGGTGCTTGAAAAGAGCATCCAGTTGACAGAGGCTACAAGTGGGCTAGTAGGATACAAAGAGGAGTACTTTGGAGGTGGTAGCGATGCCCTGGAGATTGTTGCGGCCGACAAGGGGTCTGTAGTCGTCGCCGCGGCAACAAAGGCGTGGATGTTCTCGGTCGATCTTGAGACCATGGAGGTGGCGGAGTACAAGTGCAAGAAGAATGCCGACATAAGTGTCGTGGCCTATCCTTGTGAGCTTCCATGGCCACTGACTTTGAATGCTTGTAAGGTTCGGTGTAAGTGAGTGGAAGCAATGACGATGTTCTCATATTTGTACTTGCTTCTGAATGCGTAGGTTTCAGTCATATCATCAATGTCGGAAATAATGCTAAGCGATCCCAACAAACTCCAAGCAAACATCAGGTGTGGGATGTGTTTGTATCGCCTTGTTCGGTGATGGTTGCTTTATATATAAAGCTGGGGAAATCCTTTTTTTAATAATGCTAATTAAGCGATGTTAATATTTTAAGTGCTGTCAAGACTTCGTTTAATATTTTGATATATGTGACATGCGGAATGCTTCTTTTTCCGCTTTGGGAATATTTTTGTGCTGAGTACTATACAATATCAACACTTTTGTTGCGGATGTGTTGTGTGTATCAGTTTGCAAAACCCATTCAGGAGAAGCCTAGTCTGGTTTTAGCTTACCAACAGACTATATACAACAGTGATTAGCAATCGATTTGGTTGTGGAGTTTGTTCTGCATTCGCTGACTATCAAATCGTCATTGAGTGTGTGTTTGTCGTTGAATATATCAACGGAGAAGGGTGTGATTTGGGCAAGAGGTGCCCCCTCGAGCTCTCTCGACCGCGTCGCCTCCGCGGGCGATCGGTCGCGCATCGCCGCCTCCCTCCTCCAGTCCCCACCTCTCCTCTTCCTCCTGCCGCCGTCGCTGGCGCCCGCGGTCGCCCTGGCCCCGGGGTTGCTGGTGGCGGCGGCCCCCTGACCTTCCCCTCCCGGTGGCTCTCCTGCGCGGGGCGGAGCTGCACCGGGGGGTGCTCCTAGGCAGCGATGGACCGGGTGGCGACGGGGTTCCCTGGCGCGGCGCGGGCGGGCGGCTGGACGGCGGCGGCACCGTTGGCGGCGGGGTGGTGCAGCGGTGGGTCCTGGCGGCGGCGCTCGGCCCAGATCTGGGCCCTACGGGCCCCATCTGGGCCTGGGCGGGCCGCCAGCGGGGCGGATCCGTGGCGAGACTTCCGGGAGGCGGGGGAACAGCGCTGAGCGGCGTGGTGCTGGCGGCGCCGGCGCCAGCCTGCTGCAGCATGGCCGACGGGGCTTAGCGGGCCTGTTGCGGGCCTAGCCGGGCCAGGGTGGCCTGGTTTGCCCCGCTGCCGTGTCTGGACGGCAACCGCGACTGTGCCGGAGGCACGGGCCTCTCGCACGACGGCGGCGGAGGTGGTTCCCTCCCGCCCGGCCTTTGTGTTGCTACTCCTGTCTGGCTCTTCTCTCCGGTCTTCTTGGCCTCGTGTTGGTGCTCGTAGTGAGACAGCTTGGGTGGCGGCGCAACCGCGATGGCGCATGGTGTTGGGTGGTGGTTTGGCTGGTCGGCTTCGGTTGGGCGGTGGGGTTGGTGTGCGGGAGAAATCCTTGCCGGTTCGGCCGGCTCCGATACGGTGACACCGACGGGTGCCACCATTCCTTCTTGGAGGGTGTCAGTGGTAGCCATCCTCCACTTCCCTCCGCGTACCGGGGAAACCCTAGGACTCGTCCGGGCGCAGCGTCGTCGGTGTCGCATTCCTTCTTGAAGGTGCCGCTTGGTACACGGCAGATCGGGGCCTCGGGCGGTGGTGGTTTGTCTCCGGAGGGCGCAGCGGTGGCGGTTCATCCATGCTTTGTCGAGCTGCCGTTGTTGGCATTTATTTCTTCTTTTCTTTTGGGCTTGATGTGCTGCTTGCCCCAACAATGCTATGTGTATGGTGTTCGTTGCTTTGAAATACAAAGCGGGGGGAAACCCTTTTTCGGTAAAAATATATCAAAGGAAGCTGATTAAATTCAGTTCACAAAAACTATTATGGAAGATTGTACTTCCTCCGATCCTAAATATTTGTCTTTCTACAGATTTCAACAAATGACTACATACAAAGCAAAATAAGCGAATCTACACTCTAAAATATGTCTATATACATCCGTATGTGGTAGTCTATTTGAAATCTCTAAAAAGACAAATATTTAGAACCGATGAAGTATTATATAACTGAGTAACTGATTATATGAAATCCATAACTTTAGAAGCACACAAGATAAAAGATTTGGTATGAGGTTCTGACCTCTAACCCTACAGTATGAGCATGTAAGTGTTACCATATACTCCCTCCGTCCAAAAATACTTGTCGGAGAAATGAATAAAAATGGATGTATCTAGAACTAAAATATGTCTAGATACATCCATTTCGCCGACAAGTATTTTCGGACGAAGGGAGTACTTATGTATTTCTACAAGGAGGTAGATCAACAATTCTTTTTATAGATGTATGTACGTAATTTAGGGAGGCTTACGGATGATTCAGTTCAAGCAAGTTGGCTTTTGTCATAGCTCCTCTAGACAGCCTGAAAGAAAGGAAAACACTAAAGCATGGAGGCTGCATGTCACGACGAAATGATGCAATACCAGAATTAAAACTTATCGATTCTGTCACATAAAAACTGCACTTTCTAATGCTTTTGCAATGTCGATGCACTAATTAAATTTAGTTATCTAGAACCCATCATATCAATTTCGAGCGAATTAGATGCATGAAATAATTGTGAGATGGTCGGAAATATTATGTAGTTAGTTATCCAATTCTGTTTACATGAACAGAGCGTCTTGCACATGAATAATATGCAGAGACAAAAAAAGATGATCAAGTGCACTCACATGACAAATTAACGTCCCTTTATACTAGAGCTTGCAACTAGATAGCCTTTCGTGGTTCAAAGATGATGTTGTGTGTTGGGGAACGTTGCAGAAAATAAAAAATTTCTACGGTTTCACCAAGATCAATCTAGGAGTTCATCTAGCAACGAGAGAGAGAGGAGTGCATCTACATACCCTTGTAGATCGAGCGGAAGCGTTCAAGAGAACGGGGTTGAGGGAGTCGTACTCGTCGTGATCCAAATCACCGGAGATCCTAGCGCCGAACGGACGGCACCTCCATGTTCAACACACGTACGGTCAGCGTGATGTCTCCTCCTTCTTGATCCAACAAGGGGGAAGGAGAGGTTGATGAAGATCCAGCAGCACGACGGCGTGGTGGTGGATGCAGCAGGGATCCCGGCAGGGCTTCACCAAGCGTTTGCGGGAGGGAGAGATGTAGCAAGGGGGAAGGGAGGCGCCAAGTGCAAGGGTGCGGCTGCCCTCCATCCCCCCTCTATATATAGGGTCCCCAGGGGGGCGCCGGCCCTAGGAGATGGGATCTCCTAGGGGGGCGGCGGCCAAGGGGGGTGCCTTGCCCCCCAAGGCAAGTGACTACAAGAAATATATCAACTTGTGACCTTCTGTCAGTGACCCTGAAAGAATTGGTCATAGATCTATGACCATTTCAGACCAATTGGTCAAAAGCTGTCCGGGGGGCTCCAAACCCTAAACCATTGTGACCATTTTGATCAGAAAGGTCGTAATTTCCTTATACGAAATGGTCATAAAGCAAACAGCGCTAGTCCGCTGCATTATTTCTAGTTGTTAACGACCAATATAGATGGTCATAGCCTTGTAAATTGTGGTGGGTTTCTATGACTAGGCGCCACCTTATCAGTTTTGCCTATGTGTCATGTCCATGTGGCAGTTTTTGCCCTAGGTTGTGAAGCAACCTATATTTCTGTCATTCCCAAAATTCCCAAAAAATCTCATAAATTCTTTGGGTCATATCTTCGTCAAATATGTAAAAACCTTCCTTGCCTAGTTCAAAACTAATTCAAAAATATTCATTTTCCTATTCTGTTCAGAGTAACAGTTTGTGAAGGAAGTACCACTTTGGCATGTCCAAATAGTATCCATTTTCTACAGTGCTTTCCTATCACCAAATAACCATCCTCCACCAAATGCCAGCTCAATCCATTTATTATTTTGAGCCGAGCTTCAACATTCGTATTTATGTCCAGTGTGGTGGTTTGCAAAGCAAGTACCACCTAGGCTCCTCCTTTGAGCTGAAAATTTGTGAAGACGGTCTTCTTAGTAACTGATCATCCTCAGCTAAAACTCACGCCCATTAGCCATGTACATTTCCCGTACCGCTAATCAAACACTTGGCTGCTAATTCATGTTTGAGCATCGATTGGTCTCCTCGTGAGAATCTTATGTTGTAATTTTCTTCCTAGCACCAACCTGGGGAGTGCCCAACCCACTAGACATGCCTAGGCCGCCCAGAACACATGGCAACACCACGGTCACGCGGTGACCACGCGGCGGGCATGCGAGTTTACGCGCTCTAGAGTTGGGGCCCTCGACCACCGCCCAAACCTCGACGTATCGCCACCAAACCATGTATTTATGATTAAATAGGTCCTTATGTAACTAGAAATTATTTTTGGAAAAAATAAATAGCAAACTATGAGGCAGCTGCAGTTCAAATTTGACCCGCTTCCAACTGAATCGACAGAAATTTGTCTTTTTCACGAGAGGTGGATCAATTTTTTTTACACCAGACCATTTTGTCAATTGTGCATTAAATATGGCCTAGTATTTTATAAAAATGATTTGGTCCAATTTTGCAACAATTATTTGGTAGTTCCTTCACAAAAAAACCTCCTTTCGGGCACTCGAAAAATGGAAAATGGTTTTTTCGTCCAACGAAAATGAAAACTTCCTTAGGCAACATTGTTTGCTATTCCAATATGCACCCTTGTGCATAATATGAGATCATTTGAACAAACTATGCCATGAATATGGCCATAAGATTGATCATTTGGCTTGAAAGCCATGAATCTTCACACTTCATCGCTCATTTCTGAGAACACTTTTTTAAAATAATTAGTGTATTACAATTTTATTATTTTTCCTGGAAACTTGTTCACATATAATGACACAATGCGAAGGTTTTCCAATTTTTTGAATTTTTTTCAATTTTTTATGCCCGTTTCAAAATGCGGTCAAAACGGCGGGCTTGACCGTTCCTAGCTAGTGGTTGAATATTGGAATTTTTTTGGTGTTTCTCTGATTAAATAGATACTTATGTACCTAGAAATGATTTTTGGAAAAAATAAATAGCAAACTATGAGGCAGCTGCAGTTCAAATTTGACCCGCTTCCAAGTGAATCGACGGGAA